TGATAGAGGAGTCAGGCCAGGAGGTAAATACCGATACAGAGTTATTCCGTGTTCACATTTCGCTGGGGTAGGACACACGAAAACAGGCCACAGCGGAAACTATCTACCCTGGCAATACACGGTACGGGATACCCCAACAATATACAGGCACAGGGGAAATGTCTACCCCGGCAATACAAGGTACGGGTAGCTCCACCGACCTCCACTACTTTCACAAAAAACAATCACCCACAAGGACAAGGGGGGCAGAGGGAACACTTATACACAGACTAATGAGGGGATATGAACCAGGTGTGTGTAATTGACAAGACAAGACAAATGGAATGATGAATAATGGAGCGGTAGTGGCTAGTTAGCTGGGGGGAGGCAGCCTCGGAGGAAGTCGTGACAGTAAACAGTGACAAGTAAAATTTGATTTGATGTGTTAGGAGAATAATGTTTTAGGATTATAATGTGATTTAGGAGCATAATGTGTCTTCTCAACTATCAGATGAACCATTCAGGCTGTAACTGAGAACCATGCTAAGCTGTACATGAGACATGATAGAACTATAATCATGTAATGATGGAATAAGATACAGTATGAGGCATATTTCACAAAAGTAGAACACACAAACACACACACAAGCGCGGACAGTGACACACTCACAGACACACCCCATCTCTCTCCCGCTCTCTGTCTTTCACACACGTATGTCGCACCTACTAAAGTCAGGTCGCTGATATGGGTAATATGGGTCATCCACACTCATCATGACTAAGGTCACACTTTCCTGTTTGACACGCTCAGCAGATCTCTCCCAACCTATCCACCTGTAACACATCTCTCTTCAGGGCATTCAGCCAATTCTAGAAACCGACCAAGCAGAGAGACAACTCTAGAGAGACGAGAGAGACGAGCGGAACCAGAGGACGGAAAGAGGGAATGAGAGACCAAGAGATGCACACTCCGGTAGACGCGAGAGACCCAGCCAGAAGACCGCAAACGCGTAACATATAGAATCTCAATGATTCTCTCTCCTCTCATTCTACTATCTCCGTTATAGCTATATCTCTCTATATCTCTCTCTCTCTCTCTCTCTCTCTCTCTCTACCCTCTCCCTCTCTCACTGCTTCTCTCTCTCTACTATCTCTACCCTCTCTCTCTACCCTCTCTCTCTCTCTACCCTTTCTCTCTTTCTCACAGCTTATCTCTCTCTCAGCCAACACACACATTGACAATTCAAAATGCTCTATTGGTCTGACAAGTATAAATATCTCATCAGTACAAATACACAAAAGAACACTGACAGAAGCCTAGATACAGATTTCATACACACATTCACCACCACCACACCTCTCTCTCTCTCTCTCTCTCTCTCTCTCTCTCTCTCTCTCTCTCTCTCTTCTCTCTCTCTCTCTTCTCTCTCAGGGACTATATTGATAGGGCCTGTGGTTGGGTAGGGGGCTGTGGGGTCGTGTGTCTGTCCACCAGCAGTTGCTGTCCCATGTCAGGACTGGGGCTGACAGGCCTGAACAGAAGTGCTAGCGCTACATTAGTGTGTTAGCCTAGCCAGACCAAGGAAGCGTCCCAAAATGGCACCCTATTCCCTTTATAGTGCACTACTTTTGACCAGGGCCCATAGTGCGTAGTGCCCTATGTAGGGAATAGGGTGACACACCATGGTAACACAGGCTCTCTGACACTAGAAACAGTCAAACTCACACACCTGTCACATAGGCCTCCTGTAGCTCAGTTGGTAGAGCATGGCGCTTGCAACGCCAGGGTTGTGGGTTCGATTCCCACGGGAGGCCAGTATGAAAAATGTATGCACTCACTAACTGTAAGTCGCTCTGGATAAGAGCGTCTGCTAAATGACTAAAAAAATGTACATGTAAATTTAGAATGGACCGCGAGCCCTCTGAATGGAGCAGCAGCCTAAGGCGCCCCCTGGAGAGACAGCAGGATTAGCAATCGTATTACTGCACTGCAGCACAGTTTAGTAAAATTGTGACATTATAGGGGAATCTGAAAATAATCAAACTTGGATAAATCATATCGATGGCCCAATTAAGGATATTTCTTCTAACCATATGGAAACAACTGCTATAGGGAAATATTATTATACTATTTCCCTTGCGGTGTTGCTGCTGTTGTTTTTCTATGACAGTGTTGTAATACTATTTATTTTCCACAAAGCGGCGGTGTCGCCCCGTTCTTAATTGCAAAACCATGCAACAGTAAAAAAGTGAGGAAACCCCATTATTTTTTGTTTTGTTGAATAGACCTCTATTAAACCTTGAAAATATTTGATAAATTCCACCACCAGATTAGATTTATTTATATCAACCCTTGACAAACGTCAGACGGGAATGATGTAAGCGGAACTTTTATTACCTATTGTGCGGTATCCTACGGATTGGATTACAGACGCGCAACACTATTTATCAGAACTGTTTCCTGTGTCAAAATATCTTGCTAGACGAAGCGAAAAGTCTCCACATTCAACTATTGTGTGGTAATTAAAATAATTATCCTTTTATTACACTATATCGTAAGATGTATTTGTCATCGGATTATATAGCGTTAGCTAGCTGTATTTTTGGTACCTTGATTGTTTGTCAAACTGGAAGGCAACGACTGGTTAGCTAGCTAGCTAACAAGCTAATTTAGCTGCCAGCTAGCTTACGTTGGTGCTTCAGCTGTTATTTTTACGGGTAGGGACTAGATAATGGGCGCGTCTCAAGTGGGGAATGCCATGTTAAGTATATATTTAAATGTGTAACGCGGTTCGCTACTAAATTAAATGCTACAACGTTTGTTAATTAGCTAGTTAGCCAGCTAACGGTAGCTAGCTAGCCACCTGAAATTATACATTTTGATGTGTGGCCATAGTGATTTTAACAGAAGTCGTCTGTTTCAGAGACGAGTTTCGGATTTGAAGACAAAATGGGTGAGTGGAAATGTTCAGTTGACATGTTTCAATGTTTTTGTCGCCAAGATCATGAAAAAAATGGCAACTCGTGGAGCAAATACATAACGAATGGAAAGGGTGTGCATTCAAAATAATAATTAATAGCAAAGAGTAAGAGGCGAAGCGAGAGGGATAACTGGGACCAAAATCTGTCTTCTCCAGCATGTAGCGTTTGTGCTTTTGTATGGAGGTCAAGGAGTGACGAATTTGGTCAACAAAATCGTATAGCTTATTTGATCGAATAAAAGTTGTACTGATATGTAAGTTGACGTCCTGGCAACTTTGAGAAAAAACGATCTGCTCTCTCATTGACTAGAATGGTCCCACCTGATCTTGCCTCCTCCCAACTGCCTTCCATTTTTTAAAGAAATGTATTTCCATTGTTAGAACGGGCACTTGAGTATCTGGTCAATATAATGGATAATCAGTGTTAATGGGTATAAATTACCAATAAATTGTAACAAGGGTCAACAGTCTTACTTTTCCCCCCTGCGCCTGCCCCTCATTAGATGGTGAAGAGAAGACCTACGGTGGCTGTGAGGGCCCAGATGCCATGTATGTGAAGCTGATCTCTTCTGATGGCCATGAGTTCATAGTGAAGAGGGAACACGCCTTGACCTCAGGGACCATCAAAGCCATGTTAAGTGGACCAGGTAAGCACTTTACCATCAAAGCCATGTTGAGTGGACCAGGTAAGCCCTTTACCATCAAAGCCATGTTGAGTGGACCAGGTAAACCCTTTACCATCAAAGCCATGTTGAGTGGACCAGGTAAGCCCTTTACCATCAAAGCCATGTTGAGTGGACCAGGTAAGCCCTTGACCATCAAAGCCATGTTGAGTGGACCAGGTAAGCCCTTGACCATCAAAGCCATGTTAAGTGGACCAGGTAAGCCCTTTACCATCAAAGCCATATTGAGTGGACCAGGTAAGCCCTTTACCATCAAAGCCATGTTAAGTGGACCAGGTAAGCCCTTTACCATCAAAGCCATGTTGAGTGGACCAGGTAAGCCCTTTACCATCAAAGCCATGTTGAGTGGACCAGGTAAGCCCTTGACCATCAAAGCCATGTTGAGTGGACCAGGTAAGCAGTGTGCGCTTGATATAGCAAAGAATGTGCCTGGTGCTAGTCTACCAACTGAATGGCCTAGTGACTGTCCTGAGATCGGAAGGTTGGGAGTTCGATCCCTGGCCGAGTCATACCAAAGACTTAAAAAATGGGACCCGGTGCGTCTCTGCTTGGCACTCAGCATTAAGGAGATAGATTGGGGGTAAGGACCTGTTATAGACGAGTGTCCTCTCCATGGGCTGTACATCAAGCTGCCTTACACTACAAAAAACAGGAGATAGATGAGGAATTTATCTCCTCAACTCATTCTGAGTGGGCCAGGTAAGCAGACATTCAGGACAACGTGTTGGATTTACATAATGAATGCAAAGGGTGTGCGTTCAAAGAGGCCCGTGACTGAAGCAGCTTGCTAGTTCCAACGAATCACTTTGATACTGTAAACCCTATTGAACTAGCTGTATGTCTTCACACTGTGCGTCAAACTAATGTATTGCTTCTCCTTTTATTTTTTTATTCCCCCCCCCCCCCCCCCCCCCCCCAGGTCAGTTTGCAGAGAATGAAACCAACGAAGTGAACTTCAGAGAGATCCCCTCCCATGTCCTGTCCAAGGTGTGCATGTATTTCACCTACAAGGTCCGTTACACCAATAGTTCAACGGAAATACCAGAATTCCCCATCGCCCCCGAGATTGCTCTGGAGCTGCTCATGGCTGCAAACTTCTTGGATTGTTAAAACTGAAGAAGAAGAAAAAGAAATGTAGCAGCTTAAAACATTTTGTAGATTTTTTTTTTGTTGGACTATTTAACTTGTTTGCCATGTTGCTTATAGATATAAAACAAAGTGAATGATGACGAGTACGTTTGTGTCAGTATGCTGTGTAAAATATTTGATTTTGCACCAGGCTTTATGTCCACTTTCTGTTGATAGTAAAGACTTTTTAATTTTTAATATAATTAACTGATATGGCTGCTCCAGAATGTGACGAAGTGGCTTACCCTGTCGTACACAATCATTTCTTACCTCCCCACCACAATAAAGTATGCTTGAGTGTTTTCGGTGCTAAATGGCTCCCTTGTGTGTTGGCAGCTTTTACGTTGAATTAGAACAGAATAGATGTTGAAGGTCTGTTCATTTTGGTTCGTGTTCATTAGTGCACACTAGCAAACCACGTCAAAACATTTTTGCAATGAAAACAAGTTTCTCATAGGACATGTTCAGGTAGTCCCTCCCCCCGTTGCAGTCTGTATATCGCCATTTAGGTTCTAGTGGATACAACCCTGGCAGAACCGTCTTACCTAATATAAAGGTGTTGTCCCACTGGTCCATCAACCTCTGGGAGTTCAGTTATCCGTTCCTGATATCGTGTTCATTAGGTCATACCGGTGTGATAACTGGATTAGCCTACCTAGCCATAGACGGGTTCTTTCATGATGTAATGCCACATGGCTCCAGTAGAGTGGAGGCTCAGTTTTTGCATTTTTAGATAATAAAATGACATGGGGACCTGATCCTGGATCAGCACTGCTTCTCTGAGACGCTTTACGCCAATGAGTGTCTGCCTACATAAAACCTCACGGCAGGCTAATACAGTCAACTACCTTTGTCTTATGAGTCCATGGACAAAAAATAATAGGACAATGGGATCATATTTCTTTATGAAATCAGGGAGAAGGCCAGTGGAGGCTGGTGGGAGGAGCTATAGGAGGATGGGCTCATTGAAATGGCTGGTGTGGAATCAATGGAACGGGAGTCAAACGTGGTTTCCATGTGTTTGATGTCTTTGATACCGTTCCATAAATTCAATTTCAGCCATTAAAATGAGCCCGTCCTCCTATAGCTTCTCCCACAGGAGAAGACACTGTTGAAAGTTGTAGTGAAGTTATCCCTCATAGGAGAAGGGAGAGTGTTTTATCCCTGCACCAATTTCACTAATCACTGAAGCCTCTTAGGCATCCCACCAGTGCTTCTGGCTCTTTCCCATCAGAGGAGAGGCTGTGTATATGACCTTAAAAGGTCATTTGGGAGTCAGATAATCAGGCTGTCTCTGCAATAACACTGCTGACATACACACTCTTTGACCTTTCCCACATTATGTTGTTACAGCCTGAATTTAAAATAGATACAATTGAGATTTTTTTTGTCACTGGCCCACACACAATACTCCCATAATGTCAAAGTGGAACACAAGCATTTTTCTACACCCGCAATAACATCTGCTAAATATGTGTATGCGATCAATACAAATTTGATTGGATTTGATTTGGAATTATGTTTTTAGAAATGTTTACAAATTAATTACAAATGAAAAGCTGAAATGTCTTGAGTCAATAAGTATTCAACTCCTTTGTTATGTCAAGCCTAAATAAGTTCAGGAGTAAAAATGTGCTTAACAAGTCACATAAGTTGCATGGACACGCTCTGTGTGCAATAACAGTGTTTAACATTATTTTTTTATGACTACCTCATCTCTGTACCCCACACATACAATTATCTGTAAGGTCCCTTAGTCAAGCAGTGAATTTCAAACACAGATTCAACCACAAAGGCCAGGGAGGTTTTCCAATGCCTCTGAAGGGCACCTATTGCTAAATGGGTAAAAAAAAGACATTGAATATACCTTTGAGCATGGTGAAGTCATTAATTACACTTTGGATGGTGTGTCAATACACCCAGTCACTACAAAGACACAGGCGTCCTTCCTAACTCAGTTGCCGGAGAGGAAGGAAACCGTTCAGGGATTTCACCATGAGGCCAATAGTGACTTTAAAACTGTTAAAGAGTTTAATGGCTGTGATAGGAGAAAACTGAGGATGGATCAACAATATTGTAGTTACTCCACAATACTAACCTAATTGACAGAGGGAACAGAAGGAAGCTTGTACAGAATAAAAAATATTTCAAAACATGCATCCTGTTTGCAACAAGACACTAAAGCAATACTGCAAAAAAAAAAATGGCAAAGCAACTCACGTTTTGTCCTGAATACAAATTGTTATGTTTGGGGCAAGTCCAACACACATTACTGAGTACCACTCTCCATATTTTCAAGCATGGTATGGGTATGCTTATAATCGTTAAGGACTGGGGAGTATTACGGGCAATAAAAAATAACGGAATGGAGCAGCACAGGCAAAATCCTAGTGGAAAACCTGGTTCAGTCTGCTTTCCACCAGACACTCGGAGATGAATTCACCTTTCAGCAGGACAATAACCTAAAACACAAGGTCAAATCTACACTGGAGTTGCTTACCAAGAAGACTGGAATGTTCCTCAGTGGCTGAGTTACAGTTTTGACTTAAATCTACTTGAAAATCTATGGCAAGACATGAAAATGATTGTTTAGCAATGATCAACAACCAATTTGACAGAGCTTGAAGAATTTTGATAAAATAATGGGCAAATGTTGCACAATCCAGAAACCTACCCAGTAAGACTCACAACTGTAATCTCTGCCAAAGGTGCCTCTACAAAGTATTGACTCAGGGGTGTGAATACTTATGTAAATTAGATATTTCTCTATTTCATTTTCCAAAAATATGCTAAAATGTCATAAAACATGTTTTCACTTTGTGATTATGGGGTATTGTGTGTCTATTTAATCCAGTTTGAATTAAGTTAAGGGGTGTTAATACTTTCTGAAGGCAAGGGGACTGACTGTGAAGTGAATAGAATATTCATAGCAAACATACTGGTTCAACCAGAAAAATCTATCTGTTCAGAATAAAAAATGACTATATCTGGTATGTGTGACTCAAAACAGATTTGTGTTGTGGAAATAATTTTTCAGTGTGTGCTGACTGAGGTATGATGATAGTGTCGGTGGGCTGGCATTCAACAGCCTGTTGTTACAACCATCAATGTTCTTCACTGTTCCACACCTAAAATTGGTTATGATTATCTCCAGGAAAAGCTGTGGAATCTGAGAAACAGTGTGAAAGGGCCCTTTATTTTCACTGACACTACTAGAGGTCATTGACCTTCAGTTAGCTTTTTCTCAATACAGTGCGGGGTCGTCTCTAATCCCTATGTGACACCACAATTCACATTTCCGATTAAATGCGCTGCTTTGGATTCATTCAAGCGTCTTTGGTTATATTTTCTGTCGCCCCTGCACAGTACTCGGAAGGGCAATACTGCTGTTCCTACATGTTCAGTGCGCTTGGCGCAACCAGCGGCCCTGTTCCGTAGTGTTTTGTCAACACAACACGCCCCCGTCCCATGTGATCACGCCCCCGTCCCATGTGATCACGCCCCCGTCCCATGTGATGATACCTGGGATGACGTAGTGTCGTTCTGCGTTGGTTTCCATCATGGCGTCGATGCAGGTAACAAGTGCACTGACGGCGTCTCTGTTTTCATCCGTTATTTCAAGTCAGTCAACGCATTCTTTAATTAGGATGTTGTACTGATTTGTTTACCGTGTCGCTTCAACCGCCTGCACCTGCCTAGTTGGGGAGCTAACGTTAGATAGCAAACGTAGCTCATCAATAGCTACCGCTGTTAGCAACCGCCGCACTGTCGGTGCTTAACTAGCAAGAAGGGAGTTGCTAACGACGTTAGCAAGCTCGCTATCTAGCTAACGTTAGGTACTCCGTTGGGGACTGTCAGTTGCAACGTTAGCATAAAATTGCTAGCTAGTTAGCAAACAAATATAGTTATGAGTGCAGTGACATGCCTGCCCGTAGCAGAACTAAGCTAACTGGATAGCAGACTAACGTTAGTTTGTCTAGTTACGTCGTTAGCTAACGCGCTACACAACCTAGCTAAGGTTGTTAGTTATATGTGGTGGCTGGCTGGCTCTAGGGCTGAGTAAGCTGGTCTGAATTCATGAAGTGGATTAGCTAGTTAACGTTAATGATGTTAGTTCTGCATTCTGAAACCCAAAGTGTTAATATCCAACCGTTTCGGTTGTCAAAATGCTAAAAAGCCGATGGTAAACACTGCGTAGGTTATAAAAGCTCTAGTGTTGACACCGCGTTAACGCAAGGAGCTGAACCAAGGTTAGCGTACTTTTGATTTAATCTTCAATTTAGAGGATATTACGAGACATCCAGATAGCTTTTAGTCTGTCTAATTAAGTAATTAATTGTCAAACTAGCTAAGTACTGACATCTTTGGGGATTGGATTTCAGATCGGTCGCATCATGTTTTCACGAGTAGTTTTCATCTCAAATTAAATCTCTATTGTATTCTAGCTACAGCTAAAACGTGTGTTTTTTTACCCTTATAGAAAAGGCTACAAAAGGAACTAATGGCTTTGCAAAATGATCCGCCCCCTGGAATGACGCTCAATGAGAAAAGTGTACAGAATACCATCACACAGTGAGTATACATCAGGGTGGAGCTTGCTGAGTTATGTGGGTATTTATGTCTTTTTTTTTTTTAGCACAGATCTATAGCGTTTCTCATTGTGAAGAACACACACACAGCAAGTACCTGATCAGTACTCAGGGTCATCAGTATGGATCTATACCTCATAGCTACACACATCCTAGGTAATCTACTCGGAGTTCAGAGCACTCTGGTTTGAGAGTGCCAGAGCGCAGAATAATTGATTAATTTACAAACGACCTAGCACCCAGTTCTTATGACAGGTGTCAGTAAACATCTGCTAAAAAAAACTAATTAAATTGTTGCCAGTTACACAGTTAGTCATTAACCCTGAAGATAACATGAAAACAGCCTAACCAGCTCTGCTAGGGCGAGTAAATGGTCAGTGAGTTGTTCTCTAATTTGTCTGGAAGTAGCTAGCCAACGTTAGCCAGTTAGCATGGGTTCTTCAAATCAATTTTATTCCTAACATGCTTCGTAAACAACCGGTGTAGACTAACTAACTCGTGTGAGGGTAATGTAACACTGTAGTGTGAGGGTAATGTAACACTGTAGTGTGAGGGTAGTGTAACAGTGTAGTGTGAGGGTAGTGTAACAGTGTAGTGTGAGGGTAGTGTAACAGTGTAGTGTGAGGGTAGTGTAACAGTGTAGTGTGAGGGTAGTGTAACATTGTAGTGTGAGGGTAATGTAACACTGTAGTGTGAGGGTAATGTAACACTGTAGTGTGAGGGTAGTGTAACAGTGTAGTGTGAGGGTAGTGTAACAGTGTAGTGTGAGGGTAGTGTAACAGTGTAGTGTGAGGGTAGTGTAACAGTGTAGTGTGAGGGTAGTGTAACATTGTAGTGTGAGGGTAGTATAGTGTGAGGGTAGTGTAACAGTGTAGTGTGAGGGTAGTATAGTGTGAGGGTAGTATAGTGTGAGGGTAGTGTAACAGTGTAGTGTGAGGGTAGTATAGTGTGAGGGTAGTATAGTGTGAGGGTAGTATAGTGTGAGGGTATTGTAACAGTGTAGTGTGAGGGTAGTATAGTGTGAGGGTAGTGTAACAGTGTAGTGCGAGGGTAGTATAGTGTGAGGGTAGTGTAACAGTGTAGTGTGAGGGTAGTATAGTGTGAGGGTAGTATAGTGTGAGGGTAGTATAACAGTATAGTGCGAGGGTAGTGTAGTGTGAGGGTAGTATAGTGTGAGGGTAGTATAGTGTGAGGGTAGTGTAACAGTGTAGTGCGAGGGTAGTATAGTGTGAGGGTAGTATAACAGTGTAGTGTGAGGGTAGTGTAACAGTGTAGTGTGAGGGTAGTATAGTGTGAGGGTAGTGTAACAGTGTAGTGTGAGGGTAGTATAGTGTGAGGGTAGTATAGTGTGAGGGTAGTGTAACAGTGTAGTGCGAGGGTAGTATAGTGTGAGGGTAGTGTAACAGTGTAGTGTGAGGGTAAGTATTGTAGCGTAATAAAGGTGGCAGTACAGACTGCAGTTGGCCTTTATATTTGCCAAATGTAATGTTATTGTTACTACAAAGGAGGATACGAAGTCCAAAAATAAGGCTTTTCAGTCAACCAGACTTCATCACTTCTGGCTCACAGAACTGTTTTGGTTCTGTCCCCTGTGTTTCTGACCAAGTCGGAAGGTTCATGAAACAATGTCAAACTAATTTTAGTCCATTGAGTGCTAGTATAGAATTCTACAATCTAGTAAAGACAGAGCGCTGATTTGAACAGACTGTCACGTACGTAACGTTTTGGAGGAAAAGTTGTTATTTTAGACGTGTTTCAGAATGATGCTGAGCAGAATGAATTTCAGCTGAAACGCTCTCTCCTCTGTCCTCTGGGGTGTGTTCACTTCAAACCAGTGGAGGCTGCTGAGGGGAGGACGGCTCATAATAATGTCTGGAATGGAGTCAATGGAATGGCATCAAACATGTGGTTTCCATTGACTCCATTCCAGAGCCAATGGAATGGCATCAACCATGTGGTTTCCATTGACTCCATTCCAGAGCCAATGGAATGGCATCAAACATGTGGTTTCCATTGACTCCATTCCAGAGCCAATGGAATGGCATCAACCATGTGGTTTCCATTGACTCCATTCCAGAGCCAATGGAATGGCATCAAACATGTGGTTTCCATTGACTCCATTCCAGAGCCAATGGAATGGCATCAAACATGTGGTTTCCATTGACTCCATTCCAGAGCCAATGGAATGGCATCAACCATGTGGTTTCCATTGACTCCATTCCAGACATCATTATGAGCCGTCCTCCCCTCAGCAGCCTCCACTGCTACAAACCAAACGGAACCAAATGGAACCAAACGGGGAGGGACTGAATTTGACCAATAGAAGCTCTCGTTTTTGTTGCAAAACCTTTTCCGTTGCCAAGTGCTTCGCAACTGTTTGCTATGGTATGTAGTCCGCTAATGAACACAGCCCAGATCTCTATCGGTCAATAATGGCATGAATGAACTTTCCAGAACCTGTTGAACTAGGTCTTATTTTTGGTAGGTCCTTGTTTCAGGGCGGTACGGCCCGGGGTGTTTAGTGTTGTTGGAGGTTCAGGAATGCTAAGCATGCCTGAATAACTACTCTCTGGCTGTCTGTCTGCTGTAATGGTTATTCAGACAGACAGACAGACAGACACTCTGGTTTTGTTAGTGGCATACTTTTGTTTTGTTCCATATGATGTCCTTCCCAGTAACAGCCATCCATTCTTGTCTGCTACGTAACATCGTCTTCTAACATAATCTTTCTCGATGAGAAGCAGCACCAAAAGCAAATCAACGCGGTCCAGAGTGAATACAGAGATACTGTAGCATGTGTTGCTGTTTAGTAGCTGTTGTTTATGGAACTGTGTGTGAGAGAGTAAGTACTCTGTGTCTCTGTCTCTAGTTGTTTCTCCTCGGGCCAATGGAAACAAGGAAAAGCCCCTTGTGTGTGGGTAGGGGCAGGATGACATTTATCCTACCCCCCTGTATTCAACTAGTTTATCCTACCCCCTGTATTAAACTAGTTTATCCTACCCCCATGTATTCAACTAGTTTATCCTACTCCCTGTATTAAACTAGTTTATCCTACCCCCTGTATTAAACTAGTTTATCCTACCCCATGTATTCAACTAGTTTATCCTACCCCCCTGTATTAAACTAGTTTATCCTACCCCCATGTATTCAACTAGTTTATCCTACCCCCTGTATTAAACTAGTTTATCCTACCCCCATGTATTCAACTAGTTTATCCTACCCCCGTATTAAACTTGTTTATCCTACCCCATGTATTAAACTAGTTTATCCTACCCCCTGTATTAAACTAGTTTATCCTACCCCCATGTATTCAACTAGTTTATCCTACCCCCCTGTATTCAACTAGTTTATCCTACCCCCTGTATTCAACTAGTTTATCCTACCCCCACTGTATTCAACTAGTTTATCCTACCCCCCTGTATTCAACTAGTTTATCCTACCCCCATGTATTCAACTAGTTTATCCTACCCCCCTGTATTCAACTAGTTTATCCTACCCCCATGTATTCAACTAGTTTATCCTACCCCCCATGTATTCAACTAGTTTATCCTACCCCCCTGTATTCAACTAGTTTATCCTACCCCCCTGTATCCAACAAGTTTATCCTACCCCCATGTATTAAACTAGTTTATCCTACCCCCCTGTATTCAACTAGTTTATCCTACCCCATGTATTCAACTAGTTTATCCTACCCCCCTGTATTCAACTAGTTTATCCTACCCCCCTGTATTCAACTAGTTTATCCTACCCCCCGTATTAAACTAGTTTATCCTACCCCCCCCTGTATTAAACTAGTTTATCCTACCCCCCATGTATTTCAACTAGTTTATCCTACCCCCATGTATTCAACTAGTTTATCCTACCCCCATGTATTCAACTAGTTTATCCTACCCCCCTGTATTCAACTAGTTTATCCTACCCCCCTGTATTCAACTAGTTTATCCTACCCCCTGTATTCAACTAGTTTATCCTACCCCCTGTATTCAACTAGTTTATCCTACCCCCATGTATCCAACTAGTTTATCCTACCCCCCTGTATTCAACTAGTTTATCCTACCCCCATGTATTCAACTAGTTTATCCTACCCCATGTATTCAACTAGTTTATCCTACCCCACTCAAAAAATAATTAGAATTGAGTTGTTAGTAGTATAACGTTACAATGCAAATGTCATGTGTAAAGTAGTTTTTATGTCATTTCTTAAAACTAAACCTACATTGCACTGCACTGATTTGTACCACCTTTTGCTTAGTTGTTTTGGTGGGCTGGCCCTCATCTGCTCTGTAAGCAAAGTATTCCCATAGTTCGCTTCTGGAGGCAATTTTGTCAACAAGATGGAGGTATGTTTTCGTTAGAAGTCTTTGCTGTTGGCATTCTCTCTCTCGCTTGCTTCTCAAAATTGGCTCGCTGTGTCATCTGCATGCGCGTGTAGCCTGTCTAACTCACTACTGCCCCCTTGAGAAGATTCAGTCAAATTACTAGACACACGCGATGCTCTTAATCCGTATATGACGTGAGACACGTTAGACAGAAGTACCGAAAGTAACAAGAATTCTAGTACCGAACCGTTTTCCGTGTTCTAGTATAGAAAAAGTACTGAAGTTTCGGTATACCGTTCAACAATAGTCCAACGGTTCCCCTTTCTATAGCTGCCATATAGTTTCCGCACAATTGGCCCAGCGTCGTCCAGGGTAGGGGAGGGAATGGCCGGCAGGGATGTAGCTCAGTTGATAGAGCACGGGGGGCCAGTATAAAAAATAAATAATGTATTCACTAACTGTAAGTCGCTCTGGATAAGAGCGTCTGCTAAATGACTAAAATGTAAAAAATGTAAATGTAAAATGTAAAATGTATTGATGTAGCGTTACCATAGCGAATAACAAAGCTCCTGTGAACACAAAGCTTTGATAATAACTGATATAACATTTGAAACGTCTTTATCCTTTTGAAACCTTTGAGTGCCATGTTTACTGTATATTTAATGTTTTTATTTTTAAAGATTTTTGTTTCTTCTCACTTTTTTTTATTGTTTATTTCACTTGCTTTGGCAATCTAAACATATACAATGACCAAAAGTATGTGGACACCTGCTCGTCGAACATCTAATTCCAAAATCATGGGCATTAATATGGAGTTGGTCCCCCCCTTTGCTGCTATAACAGCCTCCACTCTTCTGGGAAGGCTTTCCACTAGATGTTGGAACATTCCTGCGGGGACTTGCTTCCATTCAGCCACAAGAGCATTAGTGAGGTTGGGCACTGATGTTGGGCGATTAGGCCTGGCTCACAGTCGGCGTTCCTATTCATCCCAAATGTGTTCGATGGTGTAGAGCTCAGGGCTCTGTGCAGGCCAGTCAAGTTCTTCCACACCAATCTTTTCAAACCATTTCTGTATGGACCTTGCTTTGTGCACAGGGGCATTGTCATGCTGAAATAGGAAAGGGCCTTCCCCCAAACTGTTGCCACAAAGTTGGAAGCACAGAATCATCTAGAATGTCATTGTATGCTGTAGCGTTAAGATTTCCCTTCTCTGGAGCTAAGGGGCCTAGCCCGAACCACGGCTCCACAAGGGGCCAGGTCTGACACAACCCAAGTTTAAAATGTCTGTGTGTGTGTGTTTGCTAATCCTAGATACGCTTCATTAAAGCAGTGAGAGGACAGACATGACCTTATCCTCAGAGGTCATCTGAACAATCTCTCCCGCCCAGGACTGGTTGGGTCTCTGACTCCTCCTGTGGTACTATGATACCCAGACGACACCCCTCTCTCGCTCTCTCTGATTGACCTATGATACCCAGACGACACCCCTCTCTCGCTCTCTCTGATTGACCTATGATACCCAGACCACACTTCTCGGTCTTGTTTATTTATATTAGATAATGCAGACATACAGTTATTTATGTGTGTGTATGTGTGTGTGTGTATATATATATATATATACACACACACACTACCATTCAAAAGTTTGGGGTCACTTAGAAATGTCCTTGTTTTCGAAAGAAAAGCAATTTGTTTGTCCATTAAAATAACATCAAATTGATCAGAAATACAGTGTAGACATTGTTAATGTTGTAAATGGCTATTGTAGCTGGAAACGGCTGATTTTCAATGGAATATCTACATAGGCGTACAGAGGCCCATTATCAGCAACCATCAGTCCTGTGTTCCAATGGCACGTTGTGTTTGCTAATCCAAGTTTATCATTTTAAAAGGCTAATTGATCACTAGAAAACCCTTTTGCAATTATGTTAGCACAGCTGAAAACTTTTGTGCTGATTAAAGAAGCAATAGAACTGGCCTTCTTGAGACTAGTTGAGTATCTGGAGCATCAGCAATTGTGGGTTCGATTACAGGCTCAAAATGGCCAGAAACAAAAAACGTTCTTCTGAAACTCGTCAGTCTATTCTTGTTCTGAGAAATGAAGGCTATTCCATGCGAGAAATTGCCAAGAAACTGAAGATCTCGTACAACGCTGTGTACTACTCCCTTCACAGAACAGCGCAAACCAGAATAGAAAGAGGAGTGGGAGGCCCCGGTGCACAACTGAGCAAGAGGACAAATACATTAGTGTCTAGTTTGAGAAACAGGCGCCTCACAGGTCCTCAACTGGCAGCTTCATTAAATAGTACCCGCAAAACTCCAGTCTCAACATTGAACCCACAATTGCTGATGCTCCAGATACTCAACTAGTCTCAAGAAGGCCAGTTCTATTGCTTCTTTAATCAGCACAAAAGTTTTCAGCTGTGCTAACATAATTGCAAAAGGGTTTTCTAGTGATCAATTAGCCTTTTAAAATGATAAACTTGGATTAGCAAACACAACGTGCCATTGGAACACAGTACTGATGGTTGCTGAAAATGGGCCTCTGTACGCCTATGTAGATATTCCATTAAAAATCAGCCGTTTCCAGCTACAATAGCCATTTACAACACTAACAATTTCTACACTGTATTTCTGATCAATTTAATGTTATTTTAATGGACAAACAAATTGCTTTTCTTTCGAAAACAAGGACATTTCTAAGTGACCCCAAACTTTTGAACGGTAGTGTGTGTGTGTGGATATGTGTATATATATATATATTTTAATATGATATCTTCTTTTTCATCCAGATGGATTGTAGATATGGAAGGAGCCACAGGCACGCTCTATGAAGGAGAGAAATTTCAGCTGCTTTTCAAATTCAGTAGTCGGTATCCTTTCGATTCACCTCAGGTAAGTAGTTAGCTAGCCTAGCGCTCCCTCATTGATGAATAGTAATGTTATATTACTGACTGTGGAATCAGTTAGCTAGGACAGTCAATGACACAAGATCCATTCATGCTCTGTCAGTAGGCTGGCTGAGTGGGTTAGGGTTGGGCGGTATCCAGATTTTCATACCGTTTCTTTATCATACCGGGGTATACGGTATTACCGAATGTGCACACGAGCACTATTTAAAAAAATAAATAAACGCACAAAACAATTTGTGCAACAGGGATCTTGATCTAGCCTGGGTACCAGTGTCTTTAGGGTTATACGATATCTACGTCCCTAATGGCACCCTATTCTCTATGTAGTGCACTACTGTAACCTGGTTACCAGTCTCTTTAGCTAATCCACTTCCTGTAGTCCATGTCATGTACCAAAGAGACTGGCCTTTCTACCATCTTCAAATATGAACATTATATAATTAATGAGCTCGAGGAGAGCAGAGGATTTGATCCTGATTCGATCACCCTCACAGCTATCCTCCAATCACAACGATTATGCAAATATTGGAACTCTTATCACTTTTTTTTCTCTCTCCACAGAACAACCGTTTTTTGTTCGTCCAGACGAAACCAGTCTGTCAAAAGTTGCTAGCTCACTTCTAAATTCTCAAACTAAATACATACTGCAATTCCAACCACAAAACGTGCCTAGCTAACAGCTAAATGTTTGTATGACCTTCCTCGCTGTGGCCCCGTCGATGTGGATGGGGGGAAGGAACTGAGGACGGATGTTAGCTATATTATAATAATATATTCCATTTAGCAGATGCTTTTATCCAAAGCAGCTTACAGTCATGAGTGCATACATTTTTCGTATGGGTTGCCCCGGTAATCGATCCCACAATCCTGGCATTACAAGCACCATGCTCTACCTATTTTATTGCATCAAGCAGGTATAGTGTTTGTGATTTCATTTTTGACATGTGTTTTTGATACAGTGCAAAGGAACTTGAGAATAACTTTCATGATGAGCAATATGCTTTACATGGTTTCCCACCATTTCTTCTAGAACTCACTCCCCCGGGTCATACTAAAATTACTTTATTCTAGAACTCACTCCCCCGGGTCATACTAAAATTACTTTATTCTAGAACTCACTCCCCCGGGTCATACTAAAATTACTTTATTCTAGAACTCACTTCCCTGGGTCATATTCATATTAATTTATTCGAGAACTCACTCCCCTGGGTCATATTCATATTATTTTCTTCTAGAACTCACTCTCCTGGGTCATATTCATATTAATTTCTATACAGAACTCACTCCCCTGGGTCATATTCATTTCTTTATAGAACTCACTCCACTGGGTCATATTTATATTAATTTCTTCTACAACTCACCCCCCTGGGTCATATTCATTTATTCTAGAACTCACCCCCCTGGGTCATATTCATTTATTCTAGAACTCACTCCCCGTGGTCCTCTGTAGCTCAGCTGGTAGAGCACGGCGCTTGTAACGCCAAGGTAGTGGGTTCGATCCCCGGGACCACCCATACACAAAAATGTATGCACGCACGACTGTAAGTCGCTTTGGATAAAAGCGTCTGCTAAATGGCATATTATTATTATTATTCTTATTATTATATTCATTTATTCTAGAACTCACCCTCCTGGGTCATATTCATTTATTCTAGAACTCACTCCCCTGGGTCATTCATTTATTCTAGAACTCACTCCCCTGGGTCATTCATTTATTCTAGAACTCACTCCCCTGGGTCATTCATTTATTCTAGAACTCACTCCCCTGGGTCATTCATTTATTCTAGAACTCACTCCCCTGGGTCATATTCATTTATTCTAGAACTCACCCCCCTGGGTCATATTCATTTATTCTAGAACTCACTCCCCTGGGTCATATTCATTTATTCTAGAACTCACTCCCCTGGGTCATATTCATTTATTCTAGAACTCACTCCCCTGGGTCATATTCATTTATTCTAGAACTCACTCCCCTGGGTCATATTCATTTATTCTAGAACTCACCCCCCTGGGTCATATTCATTTATTCTAGAACTCACCCCCCTGGGTCATATTCATTTATTCTAGAACTCACTCCCCTGGGTTATATTCATGTATTCTAGAACTCACCCCCCTGGGTCATATTCATGTATTCTAGAACTCACTCCCCTGGGTTATATTCATTTATTCTAGAACTCACTCCCCTGGGTTATATTCATTTATTCTAGAACTCACTCCCCTGGGTCATATTCATTTATTCTAGAACTCACCCCCCTGGGTCATATTCATTTATTCTAGAACTCACTCCCCTGGGTTATATTCATGTATTCTAGAACTCACTCCCCTGGGTCATATTCATTTATTCTAGAACTCACTCCCCTGGGTTATATTCATGTATTCTAGAACTCACTCCCCTGGGTTATATTCATGTATTCTAGAACTCACCCCCCTGGGTCATATTCATTTATTCTAGAACTCACTCCCCTGGGTTATATTCATGTATTCTAGAACTCACTCCCCTGGGTTATATTCATGTATTCTAGAACTCACTCCCCTGGGTCATATTCAATTATTCTAGAACTCACCACCCTGGGTCATATTCATGTATTCTAGAACTCACTCCCCTGGGTTATATTCATGTATTCTAGAACTCACCCCCCTGGGTCATATTCATTTATTCTAGAACTCACTCCCCTGGGTCATATTCATTTATTCTAGAACTCACTCCCCTGGGTCATATTCATTTATTCTAGAACTCACTCCCCTGGGTCATATTCATTTATTCTAGAACTCACTCCCCTGGGTCATATTCATTTATTCTAGAACTCACCCCCCTGGGTCATATTCATTTATTCTAGAACTCACTCCCCTGGGTCATATTCATTTATTCTAGAACTCACCCCCCTGGGTCATATTCATTTATTCTAGAACTCACTCCCCTGGGTCATATTCATTTATTCTAGAACTCACTCCCCTGGGTTATATTCATGTATTCTAGAACTCACCCCCCTGGGTTATATTCTTTAATGCACACCGTACAAAACCCTAGAAAATGTTTTACAACTAAAACAGAGTTTCTCATTAGACAAGTTTGGATAGTCCCTCCCCATTTCAGTTTGGATAGTCCCTCCCCATTTCAGTTTGGATAGTCCCTCCCCATTTCAGTTTGGATAGTCCCTCCCCATTTCAGTTTGGATAGTCCCTCCCCATTTCGGTTTGGTGTCTAGTGAATACGACCCTGATGTCTAACACCATAAACACCACATTCTGATTGGATAGGATGGATCAAAACCAAACTATTCAACCTCTGCTGTCTAACACCATAAACACCACATTCTGATTGGATAGGATGAATCAAAACCGTACTATTCAACCTCTGCTGTCTAACACCATAAACACCACATTCTGATTGGATAGGATGAATCAAAACCGTACTATTCAACCTCTGCTGTCTAACACCATAAACACCACATTCTGATTGGATAGGATGGATCAAAACCAAACTATTCAACCTCTGCCACCCTGCTTAGTGCTAATGCCATGATACAATCTGTGCCTGGATGCCAACACAATATGATTGACACATTGGCTTGGTGGCTCATAATGGGATCCTGACTGGCCTAGGACCAGTGGAGACAGATCTCTCTCTCTCATATATCATGCTCTCTATCGATTTCTATATCTATATATTCTCTCTATATATATATATTTTTTATACTATCTACTCTATTATGTATATATAGTTATATAATCTATCTATTCTGTCTATAGTCTTATATATCTTATATCATAGTAGTCTACTCTATGTATACTATCGCTTCTCGATGTACTGTCTTGTATATATATTGTATACTCTGTTCTATATAGATATATCTATATCTCTATGATATCTACTATATAGTCTCTAGATACTATCTATCTATCTCTATCTCTTTTCTCTAGTCTATATCTCTCTATACTTTCTATCTCTCTCTCTCTATCTACTTCTCTCTATCTCTCTCTCTCTCTATATCGTCTTCTATCTGTCTTTTATCTCTTTTGTCTCTCTCTCTGTCTCTTTCTTTGTCTCTCTGGTCTATTCTGCTCTATTTCGTATCTCTCGCTGTAACTGTCTCTCTATATCTTGTCTCTTTTCTCTCTTTTGTCTCTCTCTCTTCTCATCTCTATCTATATCTCTCTCTCTTCTCTTATCTCTGTCTCTTTCTATGGTCTCTCTCTGTCTATACTTGTCTCTCTCTCTGTCTCTCTCTCTGTCTCTTCTCTGTCTCTCTATCTGTTCTGTCTCTGCTCTCTCTCTCTCTCTCTTCTCTCTTCTCTCTATCTCTAGCTCTCTCTATCTAAGCTATCTCTCTGTCTCTATCTGTCTCTCTTTGTCTCTCTCTCTCGTCTCTCTTCTCTATCTCTCTCTCTCTCTCTCTCTCTCTCTCTCTCTCTCTCTCTCTCTCTCGCTCTACGCCAGTGTATTTAAAGCCCAGGGCCACGTTTGAGAGGATTAGCTTAACGTGACAATCTTATTTTACATATCAGCAGCCCTGCCTATAAATAGAGGTTGGTTGGTACAGAGAGAATATTAGATAAACAGTCAGGCTACTACTACCATATCATACCCCAGCACAGCACCACAGATAACTACCACCTCATACCCCAACAACCACACCCACAAGATAAACTACACCTCATACCCCAGCACAGCACCACACCACAGATAACTACCACCTCATACCCCAGACACACACAGATAACCCACTCATACCCAGCACCACCACAGATAACTACCACCTCATACCCCAGCACCACACCACAGATAACCACCACCTCATACCCCAGCACCGCACCACAGATAACTACCACCTCATACCCCAGCACCACACCACAGATAACCACCACCTCATACCCCAGCAACACAACACAGATAACTACCAACTCATACCCAGCACCCACCACAGATAACCACACTCATACCCCAGCACACACACAGTAACCACCACCATCATACCCCCAGCAACACACACCACAGATAACACCACCTCATACCCCAGCACCAGACCACAGATAACTACCACCTCATACCCCAGCACAGCACCACAGATAACTACCACCTCATACCCCAGCACAGCACCACAGATAACTACCACCTCATACCCCAGCACCACACCACAGATAACTACCACCTCATACCCCAGCACCACACCACAGATAACCACCACCTCATACCCAGCACAGCACCACAGATAACCAACCTCATACCCCAGCACCAGCACACAGATAACTACCACCTCATACCCCAGCACACACACACAGATAACACCACCTATACCCCAGCACAGCACCACAGATAACTACCACCTCATACCCCAGCACCACACCACAGATAACTACCACCTCATACCCCAGCACAGCCACACACCACAGATAACTACCACCTCATACCCCAGCACAGCACACCACAGATAACTACCACCTCATACCCAGCACCAACCACAGATAACTACCACCTCATACCCCAGCACCAGCACCACACGATAACTACCACCTATACCCCAGCACAGCACACACCACAGATAACTACACCTCATACCCCAGCACAGCACCACAGATAATACCACCTCATACCCCAGCACCACACCATACACCCACAGATATAACTACCAACCATATACCCCCAAACCCCAGCACCACACCACAGATAACCACCACCTCATACCCCAGCACCACACCACAGATAACCACCACCTCATACCCAGCAGCACCACAGAAATAACCACCTCATACCCAGCACACACCACCACAGATAACTACCACCTCATACCCCAGCACAGCACACCAAGATAACACCACCTCATACCCCAGCACAACAAACACACAAGAAAACTACCACTCATACCCCAGCACCAACACCCACAGATAACTACCACCTCATACCCCAGCACCACACCACAGATAACTACCACCTCATACCACAGATAACTACCACCTCATACCACAGCACCACACCACACCACAGATAACTACCACCTCATACCCCAGCACAGCACCATACCACAGATAACTACCACCTCATACCCCAGCACAGCACCACAGATAACTACCACCTCATACCCCAGCACCAGCACCACAGATAACACCACCTCATACCCAGCACAGCAACACCAAGTAAACTACCACCTCATACCCCAGCACACACCACAGATAACTACCACCTCATACCCCAGCACCACACTACAGATAACTACCACCTCATACCCCAGCACAGCACCACAGATAACTACCACCTCAATACCCAGCACAGCACCACAGATAAACTACCACCTCATACCCCAGCACACACACAGATAACTACCACCTCATACCCCAGCACAGCACACACAGAAACTACCACCTCATACCCCAGCACAGCACCACAGATAACTACCACCTCATACCCCAGCACCACACACCACAGATAACTACCACCTCATACCCCAGCACAGCAATACACCACAGATAACTACCACCTCATACCCCAGCACCATACCACAGATAACTACCACCTCATACCCCAGCACAGCACCACAGATAACTACCACCTCATACCCCAGCACAGCAACACACCACAGATAACTACCACCTCATACCCCAGCACAGCAACCACAGATAACTACCACCTCATACCCCAGCACACAAGATAACACACCTATCCCAGCACACACCACAGATAACTACCACCTCATACCCCAGCACCAGCACAACACAGATAACTACCACCTCATACCCAGCACAGCAACAACCACACACAATACTACACCTCATACCCCAGCACCACAGATACATACCACCTCATACCCCAGCACAGCACCAGTAACTACACTCATACCCGCACGCCCACAGATAACTACCACCTCATACCCCAGCACCAACACAGATAACCACCACCTCATACCCCAGCACAGCTACCACATGATAACACCACCTAATACCCCAACAAGCACAACAATACACTTACAGAAACATAAACCACCTCATACCCCAGCACAGCACACAGATAATACCACTCATACCCAGCACAACACCACACATAGATAACCCACCACCTCCACCCAGCAACCCCCTCTCCCACCTCTCTCTCCCCCTCCCTCCGTCTCTCGCTCCCCATCATGTGAGGCCCCCTCTCCTAATCCCCCAGCCTCATGTTCCTGTATAGAGATAAGCCCGGGCTTATATAGCAAGTCTCATTATTTTCTGCTATTAATGCGAAAATCTAAATTCATTCCGGCCGACTCTTCTGATTCAGCGCTCTACCCCCCCCCCCCCCCCCACCCCCCCCCACCACCACCACCACCATTACACCTCCCATGTAAAAAGCATGATTTTTTTATTTTTTTTTAACCAAATTGGGGTCAAAACTTAACAGGCCGTTGTTCACATATATTAATTAGTAGATGGATCTCTCTTAAGCGATGAACATTGATGTGTCTAATCATATTTTTTGTTGTTTTTCCATTTCAGGTCATGTTCACGGGAGAGAATATACCTGTCCATCCTCACGTTTATAGCAACGGTCACATCTGTCTTTCCATACTAACTGAAGACTGGTCGCCAGCCCTCTCAGTGCAATCAGTCTGTCTCAGCATTATCAGCATGCTGTCCAGCTGCAAAGAAAAGGTATGGGGGTGACAGCAGACCCATGGATTGCTAGGGTACCAGGGAAAAATTATTAGCTGGCCACGTCAATTCTTTTTTTATATACACACTACCGGTCAAAAGTTTTAGAACACCTACTCATTCAAGGGTTTTTATTTATTTATACTATTTTCTAGATTGTAGACTAATAGTGAAGACGTCAAAACTATGAAATAACACATATGGAATCATGTAGTAACCAAAAAAAGTGTTAAACAAATCAAAATATATTTTATATTTGAGATGCTTCAAATAGCCACCCTTTGCCTTGATGACATCTTTGCACGCTCTTGGCATTCTTTCAACTAGCTTCACGTCAATACTCAGTCTTGAAGGAGTTCCCACATATGCTGAGCACTTGTTGGCTGCTTTTCCTTCACTCTGCGGTCCGACTCATCCCAAACCATCTCAATTGGGTTGAGGTCGGGGGATCTGATGCAGCACTCCATCACTCTCCTTCTTGGTCAAATAGCCCTTCCAAAACCTGGAGGTGTGTTTGGTCATTGTCCTGTTGAAAAACAAATGATAGTCCCACTAAGCCCAAACCAGATGGGATGGCGTATCGCTGCAGAATGCTGTGGTAGCCATGCTGGTTAAGTGTGCCTTGAATTCAAAATAAATCACAGACAGTGTCACCAGCAAAGCACCCCCACACCATAACACCTCCTCCTCCATGCTTTATGGTGGGAAATACACATGCAGAGATCATCCATTCATCCACAACACGTCTCACAAATACACAGCAGTTGGAACCAGAAATCTCCTAATTTGGACTCCAGACCAAAGGACACATTTCCACCGGTCTAATGTCCATTGCTCGTGTTTATTGTCCCAAGCAAGTCTCTTCTTCTTATTGGTGTCCTTTAGTAGTGGTTTCTTTGCAGCAATTTGACCATGATGGCCTGATTCACACACATCTCCTCTGAACAGTTGATGTTGATATGTGTCTGTTACTTGAACTCTGTGAAGCATTTATTTGGGCTTCAATTTCTGAGGCTGGTAACTCTAATGAACTTATCCTCTGCAGCAGAGGTGACTCTCGGTCTTCCATTCCTGTGGTGGTCCTCATGAGAGACAGTTTCATTATAGAGCTTGATGGTTTTTGCGCTTTCAAAGTTCTTCAAATGTTCCATATTGGCTGACCTTCATGTCTTAAAGTAATGATGGACTGTTGTTTCTCTTTGCTTATTTGAGCTGTTCTTGCCATAATATGGACTTGGTCTTTTACCAAATAGGGCTATCTTCTGTATACCCCCCTACCTTGTCACAACACAACTGATTGGCTGAAACGCATTAAGAAGGAATTAAATTCCACAAATTAACTTTTAAGAAGGCGCACCTGTTAATTGAAATGCATTCCAGGTGACTACCTCATGAAGCTGGTTGAGAGAATGCCAAGAGTGTGCAAAGCTGTCATCAAGGCAAAGGGTGGCTATTTGAAGAATCTCAAATATAAAATATATTTTGATTTGTTTAACACTTTTTTTTGGTTACTACATGATTCCATATGTGTTATTTCATAGTTTTGATGTCTTCACTATTATTCTACAATGTAGAAAATAGTAAAAAATTAAAGAAAAACCCTTGAATGAGTAGGTGTTCTAAAACTTCTGACCGGTAGTGTATATTGTCATGATTTATTCAAACGGTAATGGGCAATTGACCAAAAATAAACCATATGAAATATATGCCTGTCGTTGTGAGCGAGCCACTTCCTCTCTCTATAGGGCGTACAGAGGAGAGAGAATTGCATTCTAATTAGCACAACCATATGACCATTACACAAAATGCAGTTTTAATCAATTTGCCTACATGGCTAGCGAGCCACATGATTATATCTTGAATTAGCAATCTAGCTAAGTGTTTTGAGTTCCCACTACCTCAGGGGGTGAATAATATAACCTTGGCCAATATTGCACAAAATGTCCAAAAAGGAATCTGATCATTCTGGATCTTATTTCGACAGTTTGCTCGTCAAAATCTCAATCATGCTTTCCCTGGATATGTTAGATGAAATAGCTTACTTTTTTTAATCACAGTCTACCATCTCAGTTGTCTTAATTGTCACTGGGAAAAAAATGGTCTACTTGCTACTGTTGATGGTCTGCAGAAATAAAACTATAAAAAGACTCCTAGCATTCCTCTTGGTTAGCCGACTGTAGCCATGTTTAATACCTCTTTTGGAACACTTTTCTTAAAGGGGCAGTGTCCTATTTTGAGATGGAAAAAATATAAATCTTTAAAATGACAGGCCTACTTCAGAAACAAACATTTATGGAGTTAAATGATCCAGAATGATCAGATTTCCTTTTTGGACATCTGATTGTTTTCTACTCCTTCTCACGTTGGTAAATCATTATTAATAGGAAGGTATCAAAATGTTGTCTATTGCATTTAACTTGCACATAACTTGCCTCATACAGTGTATGTAAATACTAAAGCCAAATCAAATCACATTTTATTGGTCACACACATATTTAGCAGATGGTATTGTGGGTGTAGCAAAATGCTTTTGTTCCCAGCTCCCAACTGCAGTAAAATCTAACAACAATTTTAAAGTAAAAGAATGGAATTAAGAAATATATAGAAAGAAAAAAAACGTTCTAATAATGTGAGAAATGACAACAACAAATACTGCGAAGTTGCTTAGGAGCCAGAAACAGCCGCCATGTCTATGGACGCCATCTAGAATGATTCCTTTATATACAGTAGGATGTCTTTAGGTATGTTCACTGTCTGAACTCCCCAGAGCCCCCTGCTGTTGCTAAACAGGCATCACAGCTGGTGTTGGGGGGGGGGAAATAATACTAATAGGAGTGCAAAGAATGATGTGCTCTATGGTACAGATTTAGGGTCAGCTTCCCCTTCCCCGATCCGAACCTTAACCATTAGTGGGGGAATGCAGAACTGACCCAAGTTCAGTTTCTAGAGGCATGCCATGTTTATACCCGCACCTCTCTGATGATGATGGTTGTCTCTCTGTTTTGTCTGCAGAGACGGCCCCCTGATAACTCCTTTTACGTAAGAACGTGTAATAAAAATCCAAAGAAGACAAAATGGTGGTATCACGGTGAGTAGTTAGGTTACAGCTGTGAGGAGAGACTGACTGCATCACTTCTTCTTTTTTTATAAGAAACATTCATGTGTTGAAAATCCCAAATTGTTTGCATAGTCCAACTTGCACACAGCTCTGACACACACACTTACCCCACCAGACATGCCACCAGGGGTCTTTCCACAGTCCCCAAATCCAGAACAAATTCAAGAAAGCAGTACAGTATTATATAGAGCCGTTATTGCATGGAACTCCGTTCCATCTCATATTGCTTAAAATGAACAGCAAACCTGGTTTCAAAAAAAGCAACACCTCACGCCTCTCCTCTATTTGACCTAGATAGTTTGTGTGTATGTATTGATATGTAGGCTATGTCTGCCTTTTTTATAATTTTTTTATGTAGTTCTGTTCTTGTCTATTAATGTTCTGTATCATGTTTCATGTTTTGTGTGGACACCAGGAAGAGTAGCTGCTGCTTTTGCATTATCTAATGTGGATCCTAATAAAATGCAAAAAAAAATAAAAATACATCCTCTGTAGCCAGGTAGTAGATAACCATGTTAATATGTAAAGAGTAAACCATTCCATCCTCGCTCAGACGGTGTTTATGTATTACTGTTAGAATGGTTATCCTGTGTGGTTAATGGGAATGGGGAAGTACAGCAATCTAATACTTTTAACTCAACAGGTTAGATTTGGATGAGTCAATATGTAAGCACGTTAACATCCAGATCATCATGTCAGTGTATTTGATACTGAAAGTGTGTGTTTTTTTTTTCTTTCTCAGATGATACATGCTAATGACCTTTTTGTAATAGTCCTAGAAGAAGTCCTACTGACCCACATAAAGCACTTTTTAATCATTCAGTCACTGAACTCTGACCTTTGACTGGAACAATGGACACCATGATGCGCTGGAGACTCTTTTTTTGAACTGCTTTTCCCAGAGGGAAGTTGGATGCATGTTTTAGCCGGTTGTAATATACAAAAGAAAATGAGGAAATAAAGGAACGTTATGTTATTTACCAACAATGGATTGTTTTTGCAAAAAAGGTCGTTATGCAGCCAGCGAGAGAAATGGTTTTGTAGTGAGATTATTATTGTTATTGTTTTAAGATGATTCTTGTTTCCTTTTGTGTTTGTTTGGGTACATTTTTAAAGGTTGTCATCGTGTGTTGTGCAGTAATAACAACGGTGGATGCATGCTTGGGCCTACAAAGACATCCACATTAAATAGTTTATATGTGGAAGGGATCTGAGCGTCTTAAACCCAAGAAAATACTTTAATTTTATTTTTTACTAATATTCAATGCACTGTGACAATATGTAGAGCTACAACAGATCAATGTTATGATTCCAAACATGCAGTTAACTTCTACTGTAAAACCACAAACAACACCACTTATCTTCAGGTAATAATACGGTTTTAAGTGAATTTACATTTCGCTGGTTAATCAAGAGCCAGCTCTCTGCCTTCTGTCTTCCAAGGACAGACTTGATTTCAGAAGTTGTGGATTTGTCTGGTCTGTGTGTTGGTACGGACACCAGAATGATGGTTACAACTCTTAGGCTGCATTTACACAGGCAGCCCAATTTTGACCTTTTTTTTTTGCCACTAATTGGTCTTTTGACCAATCGGATCAGATATTTGGCCCATAATTGGGCTGCCTGTGTAAACACAGACTTGCGTACATCTTCACAATAATATGGGCTGAACTCATGTGATGGTCTTCGCAGGTCCATTCTGTAAAGCCCAGAGATGTAAGGCAACATTACATCCATGTAAAGAATGTCTGTGTTGTGGTCCATTTTTATTTGTATGATGGTTTTTTGTCTTGATGAGATTTTTAATGCTTTAATCTAAACATTTATTTGTCTTGTTGTTTTTGTTTTCCAGCTAGCTGACACTTTTAAAGGGGGAGGATGT